ATTTTAAAAATTACTCTGGAGAAAAATATCGTTACCGGGTTTCCACTGTAATGTAATTTTAAGCAGCTAATGTTACAGTGTTTGCCAGTATAGCTGGTTTTGGGTGGGAGTAGACATAATAGTGCATCTGCAAATAGAACGGTTTTAAAGGAGTTGGAATGCATTGGAGAATCATTATTGTAGATGAGAAAGGGAGTGGGCCTAGGAACACTACCTGGGCACTCTAAGCTCCCAGGGGGCTGGATAGCAGTTGACTCCACTTGCAAACACATCTACCTGGTTCATCGTTAATTAGATTTCAGTTAATCGAAGAATTTCCTTTGAAGCCATATTGATTTATTTTTAGGTCAGGAGATTGAAAGCCACTGTATCAAATGCTTTTGTAGGTCAATGAAGAACCCCAGAGATATTTCATATTTATTGAGGGTGATATATTAGTTAAAAGCTTTGTATAATAGCATCATTCATACTTTTTTATTGTCTAAACCCAAACTGCAGGGGTTAAATTATGTTGTTGGATGAAATGTAGGAAAAAAAATTGCTTGTGTATATTTTTTTTTAATATTTTAGAAAGTAAGGGCAATTTTTTTGATTTTAGGTCTATATTGTTTCAGTTCAGGGGATCACCTTCTTTGAGATTGGAGTAACCCTTGTTGTCTTGAATATGGATGGAAGGTTAGCACTCTACAATATTAAAAGTGTTGCAATGGGGTGACAGCTTATGAGCAGCTTTTTTATATATGAATGGTGGCAAATTATCTAGATCTCCTGCTTTGTTTTTTAATGATTTAACAATGAGTGAGACTTCACTAGAATTAGTTGGAGCTAGATATAGAGTACAGTGGACCCCCGCTTAACGATCACCTCCCAATGCGACCAATTATGTAAGTGTATTTATGTAAGTGCGTTTGTACGTGTATGTTTGGGGGTCTGAAATGGACTAATCTACTTCACAATATTCCTCATGGGAACAAATTCGGTCAGTACTGGCACCTGAACATACTTCTGGAATGAAAAAATATCGTTAACCGGGGGTCCACTGTATTTGGGTAGTTGCCAGTGAGGTAGTCTTTTGGCTGGGTATTTGAACTAGGAATTTTGCTTGCCAGCTTTGATCCTACAGTAGAGAAGAAGACATTAAATTTGTTGGCCATGTCTATAGGCTGTATGTGAGGTTCATCTGGTTTAGTTAAGTTTATCTCTCTGTTTCTAGACAGTTTTCTAGAGCCCAAAATTTTGGAAAGGGTTTGCCAGATCCTCTTCATATCACATCTTATTTCAGTAAATCTATTTTTGTAATACATTTTTACTAATGGATTTGAGGATACTATTTGTTAGCCATGGGCTGTTTAGTCTCTTTGCTGTGATCTGCTTTGTTTTGATTGGACAATGCATGTTATAGAGGCTTTGGGTTTTAGGTAAAAATGTTTTGACATCTTTGTCAGTATTATTGCTGTCAGCTAGCTCTTTCTGCCAACCAATGTCACCTAGTGCTAATATTAAATTATTTATTGATGGCTCATCATGCAGGCAAAATGAGATCTTTCTTGAGTCTTGAGGCAATTTACATAAGTTGGTTATGATAAAGGTGGGGTAGTGGTCTGTAGTGTTGTCTGAGATTTTACCTGCATACAGTGGAGATATGTTGGTCCAGATATGGTCAAGCAATGAGGCACTGTTTTAAGAGATTCTTGTTGGCTTAGTTATAGAAGGTAGTAACAAGCTAACACTAATCTTGGTGTAACTGTTCCTGACAATTTAAATATTTGTATTTTTTATATACAGCAGACCTAGGTAGTAGGTTGGTAGACAGCAACCACCCAGGGAGGTACTACCGTCCTGCCAAGTGAGTGTAAAACGAAAGCCTGTAATTGTTTTACATGATGGTAGGATTGCTGGTGTCCATTTTTCTGTCTCATGAACATGCAAGATTTCAGGTATGTCTTGCTACTTCTACTTACACTTAGGTAACACTACACATACATGTACAAGCATATATATACACACCCCTCTGGGTTTTCTTCTATTTTGTTTCTAGTTCTTGTTCTTGTTTATTTCTTCTTATCTCCATGGGGAAGTGGAACATAATTCTTCCTCCGTAAGAGGCGACTAAAATGCCGGGAGCAAGGGGCTAGTAACCCCTTCTGCTGTATATATTACTAAATGTAAAAGGAGAAACTTTTGTTTTTCCTTTTGGGCCACCCCGCCTCGGTGGGATACGGCCGGTGTGTTGAAAGAAAGAAATATACAGCAGAACCCCCGTATCCATGGATTCAGTTTCCACAGGCTTCAGTTATCCACGGTTTACTGTGACACAAAAATAACCCTTAATTTTTCTTAATAATGGCCCCCAAAGCATAAAAGTAGTGGTACTGTCAGTTTTTTAAAACTTAAGAGAAGCATGAAGTGATTTAGACTTGTTGTGCATAATTTATCAAATAAACTTTATCATATGTATGTAAAAAAAATGACTTATATATAGGGTTCATTACTATCCATGGTTTTGGGCATCTGCGGTAGGTTTTGGAATGTATCCCCTGCAGATATGGGGGAATTGCTGTATAATACTTAACCCTTAAACTGTCCAAACGTAGATCTATGTTTGCTCACATAGTGCTCCGAATGTAGATCTACATTTTTTTACATGCTTTCTCAAGGAAAAAATCAAGGTCAGAGCACTACACACGCATACGTAGATCTTCGTTTGGACAGTTTAAGGGTTAAAATTTCTTGATATATTTTTTTTTTTTAAGTATTGTCTGATTAGAATGTTCAACAGATTCTACATTCTTTCAGTACAGTAGTTAAGGAAATATTGTTTGATGACAGATTTTATAAAAAAAAGTATTTTGTCAGGATTCTGGGAGCCAGTTATCAGATGACATGAGCACCATAGTAGTGGGAGTCGTGCAGGTTTTAGCAACTGCTGCCTCCACACTACTCATTGACCGTGCTGGGAGGAAGCTCCTCCTCTCCCTCTCTGCTGGTGTTATGTCCTTTTCCATAAGTGAGTACAACGTGCGCACACACACACACACACACATTCTTAGTTATGTGAATGTACAAATTGTTTTATGTTATGTTGTGGTCAGTTTTTTCAAAAAAGTAAACTAGTGTCCAGTTAAAATGCATGAGTATACATGTAGCATTATTTCTGAGTGCTATTCATGTAGCAAATAACATTTAGAAAGGATGGACCCAAATAGAATGACTTTGAGGACATATAAACCTGTAGTGGAAGGAAGATGGGGTAGGGGTCATCCTAGGAAAGATTGGAAGGAGGGGGTATAAGGAGGTTTTGTGTGCAAGGGGCTTGGACTTCCAGCAAGTATGTTAGATAGGAGTGAGTGGAGATAAGTGGTTTTTATGACGATGTGCAGTTGAGGCGTGAACAAAGTAACATGAAGGGATTCAGGGAAACTGGTTAGTTGGACTCAAGTCCTGGAGGTGGGAGGTACATTGCCTGCACTCTGAAGGAGGGGTGGAAATATGTTGCAGTTTTTGAACTAATATTGGCACACCTCTGGCAAAACAGTGATGGAATGATTGATGATGAAAGCAATTCTTTTTTTAAGTTGCCCTGCCTCAGTGGAAAATGGCTAATGTGTTAAAAAAAATTATGTAACAATATTTCATGATTTTATAAAAAAATTTACTCAAATAATTTATCAAGTTAAAATTAGTTGCAAAAGCTATCTTCTACTCTTCTCAATGTTATCTTTTCTTTCACATTTGAATAGCAGTAACCTGTTAATGCCATAATTTGGACATGCTTGTATGACTGGTTCTATATTATATTCTACACTGTACCTTGGTAGGAGACAACAGATGTGGTATAAACTGAAATAATGTGTTAGGAACTATTATTTAAATTTTTGTGATGTAGTAACCTTTGCTTGTCTCTTCCTGTGAATGCAGTTTGCCTAGGTGTGTTTTTCTATGTGAAAACTCATGATGAGGAGTGGGTAGTAAATAATCTGAGCTGGATGCCACTTACCTCCCTCATAGTGTTCATAACTGCTTTCTCCATCGGGTATGGCCCCATCCCTTGGATTATGATGGGTTAGTATAAATAAAAATATTTTTGTTTAATTTTAATTTGAGGAAAGTGCTAAACCTATAGAGGTCATACACCACCTTGGGGATGGGAAGCAATTAGGTTTGATCCATGGGAGGATAATTCAAGTTTCTAGGCTCAAGACCCTCTCACCAGCATCATGGCACCTCTCTTGAGAGAAGTATAGAAAACACAATCCTGTTTATGGATAATTATTACATTCATAGGAATATGCTTAACCTGCAGAGGTGATACAGCACACGGAGAATGGGAAGTAATCAAGTCTGATGTACTGGAGGGAAGGGTAGGGCCAATTCCTTGAGCCAGTAGCCCTTCATGTTGTTTAAAGTAAGACAGGTAATAGATAAGAGCAAAATTGACAATTACATACTTGTAATCATGTAACTGTGTGAAGAGAGTGGTGAGGGAGTGCCAAATGAGAGCAAATGATAGAGTGGGTGAGGCACTCTCAACAAATTTTGCTGAGAATAAGAAAAAAATTTGGAGTGAGATAAATAGGTAAAGAAAGCCTAAGAGAGAATGGATTTGACAGTTAAAAACAGAATAGGGGAGTTGGAGGTATTGGGAAGATGGCAGGAATATTTTGAGGAGCTGTTAAATGTTGATGAAGAGAGGGAGTCATTAATTTCATGCATTGGTCAGGGAGGTATAACATCTTTTAGGAGTGAAGAAGAGCTGGATGTGAGTGTGGGGGAGGGGGGAGGTGTGTGAGGCATTAGGTAGAATGAAAGGGGGTAAAGCAGCTGGAACTGATAGGATCATGACAGAAATGTTTAAAGTAGCAGGAGATAGTGTTGGAGTGGTTGGTATTTTTGTTTAATAAATGTATGAAAGAGGGGAAGATACCTAAGCATTGGCAGAGAGCATGTATAGTTCCTTTATATAAAGGGAAGGGGGACAAAAGAGATTGTAAAAATTATAGAGGAATTAGTGTACTGAGTATACCAGGAAAAGTGTATGGTAAGGTTATTATTGAAAGAATTAGAGGTAAGACAGAATGTAGGATTGCGGATGAGCAAGGAGGTTTTAGAGTGGGTAGGGGATGTGTAGATCAAGTGTTTAAATTGAAGCATATATGTGAACAGTATTTAGATAAAGGTAGGGAAGTTTTCATTGCATCTATGGATTTAGAAAAGGCATATGATAGAGTGGATAGGGGAGCAATGTGGCAGATGTTGCAAGTACATATATGGAATAGGTAGTAAGTTACTAAATGCTGTAAAGAGTTTTTATGAGGATAGTGAGGCTCAGGTTAGGGTGTGTAGAAGAGAGGGAGATTACTTTCCAGTAAAAGTAGGCCTTAGACAGGGATGTGTAATGTCACCATGGTTGTTTAACATATTTTTAGATGGAGTTGTAAAAGAAGTAAATGCTAGGGTGTTGGGGAGAGGGGTGGGATTAAATTATGGGGAATCGAATACAAAATGGGAGTCGACACATTTACTTTTTGCTGATGATACTGTGCTTTTGAGAGATTCTAAAGAGAAGTTGAAAGGTTAGTGGACAAGTTTGGGGGGTGTTTTAAAGAAAGTTGAAAGTGAACATATATAAGAGTAAGGTGATGAGAGTATCAAACGAGTTAGGTAAAGAAAAATTGGATATCACATTGGAGGGAGTATGGAAGAAGTGAATGCATTCAGATATTTGGGAGTAGATATGTCAGCAGAGGGGTTTATGAAGGACGAAGTTAACCATAGAATTGAAGGAAAAAAGGCGAGTGGTGCATTGAGGTGTCTGTGGAGACAAAAAACATTATTCATGGAGGCAAAGAAGAGAATGTATGAGAGTATAGTGGTACGAACACTTATATGGGTGTGAAGCATGCACTGTGAATGTTGCAGCGAGGAGGAGGCTGAAGGCAGTGGAGATGTTGTGTCTAAGGGCAATGTGTGGTGTAAATATTATGCAGAGAATTCGTAGTGTGGAAATTAGGTGTGGAGTTACAAGTATTATTCAGAGGGCTGTATTACTGTAGTAGGTTTGCTGGTATAATTGCCTGGCCCAGGCCTTTTCCAAGTGGTGGCCCAGCCTTGGCTCCCTGTCAAGGGAGTGTCTCAGACCAGTGTCTGCCATGGGAGGAGGTACAAGTACCTCCTCGTCTTATGGGACTAGCTGTCCCCAGGCCTAGTCCCATTCCCCACCCCCACAGGGCTCAGAGGGCAAAGCTAGGCACCTTGTGCTTCCACACACCCCTCCCACACTGGGCTCGAAGGGTGTGGCAGCTGCATAGCAGCAGACAGTGTCCGGAGGTGCAAAGGCAGCAAGCACTACAGGATCCTTTTGGAGTCGCCCCCAGCTGTGGACACGACATCCAAGCGCTCAGGAGGCTGAAGAACGTCTCTTGCTGTAGGTGTTGCTGCTGCTATTACTTCACTTGTCCGTTGCACTCTGTTCAGAGGGGTTATTGAAGTGGTTTGGTCATTTAGAGAGGATGGAGCAAAATAGAATGACTTGGAGGGTGTTTAAAACTGTAGTGGAGGGGTAGGGGTTGTCCTAGGAAAGGATGGAGGGGGTAAAAGAGGTTTGTGTGCCAGGGACCTGGACATACAGCAGGCATGTGTGTGTGTGTGTGTGTGTGTATGTGTGTTAAATAGGAGTAAATGGAGACCAATGGTTTTTGGAACCTGACTAGCTGGGAGTGTGAGCAGGGTAATATTTTGTGAAAGGATTCAGGGAAATCAGTTAGCTGGACTCGAGTCCTGGAGGTGGAAAATACAATGCCTGCACTTTAAAGGAGAGGTTTGGGGTATTAACTGTTTGGAGTAACACCTAAACTGTCATATCTGAGTGCCTCTGCAAAGACAGTGATTATGTGTGAATGATGGTGAAAGTGTTTTTCTTTTTTGGGTTACCCTGCCTTGGTGGGATATGGCCATTTTGTTGAAAGATGTACAGTAGAACCCCCATATCGACTGAGTCGGTATGCACGGTTTCAGTTATCCATGGTTTACTGTGGCCCAAAAATACCTCTTAATTTTGCTTAATAATGGCCCCAAAGCACAAAAGTAGAAAAGCTGGCAGTTCTTCAAAGCCTAAGAGAAGCCGTGAAGTGCTTCCTATCAGTGCAAAATTTATTAAACTTTATAATAGGTATGTATAGGACTTGACTTACATATAGAGTTTGCTACTATCCATGGTTTTGGTATCCATGGCAGGTCCTTGGAACGTATCCCCCGCAGATACACGGTCCTACTTTACACACACATGTACATACCTGCCAGAACCAAGATTCAAACAGTTTCTGACCATGCTAGAAATCCTAATACGTACATGGTACCATGCAGTAGGAAATCTTGGCTTGGAAGTTCAGTGCATGTTTGGGCTTTAATTAAAAAAGAACTACAGTATGCCTATGAACCCAGCTATTTTTGTCCTGTGTGCATTATTTTGTTCATATTTTAATAAATGTATGTAAACCGGGGGTTCTTCAGGACATCTTCAGATTTTTATGTACATTTATGTGATTTGTACATCCTATTGTAAATTTAATGTGCATTAGTTTCATTAAAGCTCTTCTGTATTATTATTACATTCAAGAGGAGAGCCCTAAACCCATAGGGGTCATACAGTGCCAGGAGAATGAGCAGCAATTGAGTTCAGTCCAAGGAAGGGGAAGTCATCTGATTCCTTGGATCAAGAGACCCCACTGGCATCAAGGAATTTTCCTTAAGGGGGCCTTTGCAGTAGACCCATATGCCTTGTTTTTAAGGTTTAGGTAATTACATAGTTAACTAAATAGAGAATACTGGCCCTTGTCAGGGCCATCCTTGCTAATTTTCATTCAAGCATTTAATCTGTTTACAGTGTGGTTCTCTTTCCAGTTCTGAAGATGTGTATGAACACTCAAGAGATTTCCTTCTTTATTTTTCACTGTTTTTATGTGCATATTATATTTAAATAATAATACAGTGGACCCCCGCATAGCGAACTTAATCCGTGCAAGAGGGCTGGTCGTTATGCGAAATGTTCGCTATGCGAATTAATTTTCCCCATAAGAAATAATGGAAATAAAATTAATCCGTGCAAGACACCCAAAAGTATGAAAAAAAATTTTTTTTACCACAAAAAAATGTTAATTTTAGTACACACAACTGAAAAAGGCATGCACAATTACATGACACTTACTTTTATTGAGATCTGGTGATGATTGATGGGATGCGGAGGGGGAGAGAGAGTGTTAGTGTTTAGAAGGGGAATCCCCTTCCATTAGGACTTGAGGTAGCAATCCTTTTCCGGGGTTACTTCCCTTTTCTTTTAATGCCACTAGGACCAGTTCAGGTCACTGGACCTCTGTCCAACAACAATTGTCCATGAGAGCTCTGTTCTCCCGTTCCTTTATTTGTCTAAAATGGGCCATAACATTGTCATTGAAATAGTCACCAGCACGGTTGCACAGCTGTGTCAGGGTGATTTTTGTCATCCATAAGGTTTGCAGTTCAACCCAACTGTGCACACATTTCCTTAATTTTTGAAGTAGCACATTGGATTCACAACTGCATAGGCTTCTCAGGGTTAGGCCCGAAATACCCTTCAAACTTTTTAATTCCATACTAATTCTCACCCTTTTTACCCAGGGTTGGCACTAGAAGCTTTCTTGGGGCCCATGGGGTCACTTATTTTCAGAAACAGCACTGTAAACACTGTAATAATAGAAATAATTCGAGAGTATCCCTTGAAGTTACGCGAGGCTGGCTGGTAAACAATGGACGCGTCTGACGAAGGTCTGCTGAGTCGGGTTTTTGTCCACTATGCGGGGCAAAATTTTGGCGAACAAAGCGTTCGCTATGCGGATTGTTCGCTATGCAAGGCGTTCGCTATGCGGGGGTCCACTGTATACTGGAGAAGATATACATACCATAGATTATTTAAAACAGATATACTTTTTTGGTATTTAAAAATTGGCAGCTTTGCTTAAGACAGTTTTCATTTCTGTAATAATTATTATGGTAGGTATGCCATGAGTATACTTCATTGTTAAGTGTATATTGGTTCTGAGCGTTTATTGCTACCCAGGCGAGCTGTTCTACCCCAACGTGAAGGAGGCCGCTGGCAGCCTAGCTACCACTATCAACTGGACCTGTGTCTTCATCGTCACCTTCACTTTTGAACCACTTCAGGTGAAATTACAGTACATTTATCTTAAGGGCTTACAGTACAGTTATTTTTACCATATTTCGCGGCTTATGAGACACTTTTTTTTTTCCATAAAATGTCTCCAAATGCCACCCTGCGTCCTATAAACTGAAGGTCAGTGACAGGAGCTATAAGTTTGGGGTGGGCTGTAGCTCTCCCAATTACGTTCAATGCCGAGCCATTGAAACTAAAACAAGTCTTAAAAGCCACAAAATATGGTAATGAAAACTTAGTGCTAAACCTCCAAGGGTCATACAACACTGCACAGTACAGTTAAACTTCAAAGAAATTAATGATCACGACAATTAGGTTATGGTACACTTGCATACAAACATTTGTAATTTTTTTTACTTCAAAGGACATCTCCAACCAAGGCAAGGTGACCCAAAGAAATACATTCAACATCATTCATTCAATCACTGTCTTGCCAGAAGTATGTTGATATCACAGTTCAGATTACCCTCTTGATTGCAACATTGCCACTCCTCCAGAGTGCAAGCACTACTCTTCCCACCTCCAGGATTCAAGTCCATTTAACTGGCTTCCCCTGAATCCTGTCATGCTATTATGCTCCATCAGCATGTCTGCTAAAAACTGTGTATCTCCATTCATTCTTAACCCTTTCAGTGTCAAGATCCCCTGCTCTCAAACTTTCTCTCAGGGTTGAAGAATTAAAAAAAAATTATTTTATCTTATGAAATTATTAGAGAATCTTTTTCCGAAGGTAATGAAACCAAAAGTATGAAATTTGATGGAAAACTTATGAAGTTATGCTATGCTATCGCAAAGTTAGTGGTTCTTGGTGATATTTGTGCATCAATGATTTCGGCCACTTTGTGCTCTATTTTTGACAGTTCCATTGTTCCGGTCCACCAAAGTCATAGTTGTTTCACTAGTATTCCTTCCATTCTATCAGTTGAATACGAGAAACCGGTAATTTGGCCAGTTTCATACAAAATTCAGCAACTGCCAATTTGAGAATAGTCCAGAATAAACAATGTAGACATTCATGGCACTAAAACATTTCCTCTGTTCCTTAGTCACATCTTCAGGCCCCTCTTGAATTTTTATTCACACAAAAAATAGAAGATTTACTGTTGTGCAGACTACTGCATTATTGTAGTAATTGTATAATGTCAGTGCATTCCTAAATGTGTATTAGACTGGCCAGTCGGGCGTGTATTGGAAAAGTGACATCATTTATGTACTCTGGAATATCTGCAGAAATCGAACATTTATGCTACTTTGAGCATTTTTCAAACCACTTTTAGTCCTGAAACTAATCAAAATCATCTCTATTTCTGTAATATATCTTCCATTCTATCAATTGAGACCAAGAAACTGAGAATACAACCATAGAAACCATGTGAAAATACACCCCAAATTCGCTGTTTTAGACCAAAAACACGGTTCCAGTTTTTTCTCATTATGTACGGCGTGCTGCAGGATTTTTTTTTTATATGGTGTACATTTACTGCATAGGCCCAGATTTATCACTCATAGCTTACCTGAGCGAGCTGAGCTCATGGTGTCATACTATGGGACCGACACTGGCTTCTAAGCAGTGATGTAACGGGACTGACACCGAAAGGGTTAACACATTCACACAAGCCTACTGGATACTCAAACTACTAACACTCAGAAACCTCCTTTACCCATCTCCCTCTGACCATTCATGGGATGACCCCTACCCACCCTACCTTACACTCCTGATTTATAACACTATGTTTGTCATTACTATCTCTCATTCTTGCTACAGGTTCAGGCTACCTCAACAACCCCTCAAAATTGTACCCTTGGTGACCCCATATCACTTTAATTTCTACAATCCAAATTCTTTGCACAATGTTCATAACACACATTGCTCTCAAACATGACATCTCCACTGCCTCTAGCTTCCCCCTCACTGCATTAAAAACCCATGACTTACACCCATGTAGAAGTATTAGAACCACCATACTCTGGTCCATTCTCTTTTCAGGGATGCTTTGACAGACCACCCACCTTTTTATTTCCCTTCATTCAGTCTCATCTTTCATAGACCCATGTCCACTCCCAAATATCTAACGAGCATCCCCTTCATCCAGTCTGATATTTAATCCATCATTTCCTAGACTTTTTGTTGCCCTCATTGCCTTGCTATTTTTCTATGTTCACTTTCAATTTTTTCTTTTATGTACCCTCCCAAATTCATCCACCAACATTTTGCAGTTTGGCTCTAGAATCTCCCAAGGTATTAATAATATGAAATTAAGCAGTAAACCTGTAAGGGCAAATCCTCAAAAAGAAATGTCATCAGCAAAGAGCAACTGTAATAACTCCCAATTTGTACAAGATCCAACATCCTTTAATGCCACACCTCTTCCCAATGCCCTAGCATTCACTTCTTTATAATCCCATCTATAAATTATGTTAATCATAGTAACATCATACATCCCTACTACATACTTTAACCTGAGCCTCACTCTGCATAAACTTGTAACTGCTTTTATTAACCCTTTGACTGTCGCGGCCGTATACTATATACGTCTTACGAGGTACCGTGTTTGACGTATATATACTCATAAATTCTAGCGGCTTCAAATCAAGCAGGAGAAAGCTGGTAGGCCCACATGTGACAGAATGGGTCTGTGTGCACCATATAAAAAAAATCCTGGAGCACGCAGTGCATAATGAGAAAAAAAAACTCTGACCGTTTTTTTTAATTAAAATGCCGGCTTTGTGGTCTATTTTCGTATAGTATTTATGGTTGTATTCTCGTTTTCTTGGTCTCCTTTGATAGAATGGAAAACATATTATAGAAATGGAGGTGATTTTGATTGATTTTACTATAAAAAGAACCTAGAAATGGAGCTCAAAGTAGGGGAAATGTTTGATTTTTGCCAATGTTCAAAAGTAAACAAATGATGCCATTGTCCAATAAATGTTCAACTAGCCATTCTAATATGCAGTCATGAATGGGTTGATGTTATTTATACAATTATTACAGTATTGCGCTGTATAGCCCTTGTGGCTTAGCGCTTCTTTTTGATTATAATAATAATAATTACAGTATTGCAGTAGTCTGCATAATAGTAAGTCTTCTATTTTTTGTTTGAATAAAAATTCAAAATAGAAAGCAAGAGTAATATCAGAGGGGCCTGGAGACATGACTGATGAGCAAAGAAAATGTTATTTTAGAGCCAGGAATGTCTGCATTGTTCATTCTGGACCTTATTTTGAAATTGTCATATTTTTTAGTTTTCGTGAAATTGGCCAAATTGCAAATTTCTGACCACATTATTAGGTAGTTGAAATCGGTAAATGGGCAGTTTCTTGTACTCATTCGATAGAAAAAATGGAGTTCTAAAGAAATAGCTATGAGTTTGGGCGACTGGAACAATGGAATTAGCCGAAAGTGGGCGAAATTGCCGATTTGTAAACAGCGCCGAGGTCGCTAACTTCGCGAGAGCATAATTCCGTCAGTTTTCCATCAAATTTCGTTTTTTGGTGTCATTACAATCGGGAAAAGATTCTCTATCATTTCATAAGAAAAAATTATTTTTTTTTTTTTTTAAATTTTGCGACACCAGGAGACACCTCAGGATTGGGGGTTGCGACAGTCAAAGGGTTAACCTGCCTATTCCATAGATATGAAAGATCTGCCACATGGCTTCTCTCTCCACTCTATAATATGCCTTTTGTAAATCCACAAATGTGACGCCTCTTTACCCTTAAGTACTGCTCACTTACATGCTTCAATGTAAACACTTATTCTACACATCCTTAACCTTCCCTAAATCCTCTCTGCAATCCTACTTTATCTTACCCATAATTCTACTGTAAACTTTACCTGGTAAACTCCACAGGCTTATTTCTTATAGATTTGTATTGCATGAAATAATCTTACCAGTACAAAATACAGTATATACTACTTCCCTTTCACCCTTGTCTTCCCCTCCCCAGGTCACCCTACCTTAGTGAGAAATGGCTAGTGTTAGAAAAATTGTTAGCCTGCAGTGGAGACGAGTAATTTTTAAAATTTGGCAAGCTCTTAAAGTACGAGCAAGGGAACATCTGGGAATGGCCTCAAGAAAACCAGTTAATAGGTATGGTGCTTGCATTGTAAAGGATGGCTAGAGATGTTGCAGTACCAGCAATCATGATATCAGTGTGCTTTTAAAAGGACAACTAGGGATCAGTAAGTCTGTTTCAGAGAACTGAGTATTTTGATAATGCTAGGTATATAATCATATTTCAATTCTTTAAGCTCAGAATTTAACTTCCTCAGGGTGCCATCCATGACTATGGTGTCTACTGGCTCTTTGGCAGCATTAGCGCTCTCAACTTCATATTTTGTCTGGCGTTTGTTCCAGAGACTAAAGGCAAGACACTACAAGAAACAACTGCCTATTTTGGTGGCCCACCTTCCTAAATTAATTTCATTGGAGGAGCACTAAACCCACAGGGGTCATACAGTACCTGGAGGAATAGGAGGCATTTAGGTTCAGTCCAAGGAAAAGGAGGACAAGCTTAATTTCTTGGGCCAAGAACCCCTCACCATCATCCAGGCACCTCCCTTGAGGGGATTGTACAGTATAGTATATGTGATGTATGTTATCAAAACAAACCACATAAATTAGATAAGGAAAATCTTTAATACATTTTGTAAATGTTTAATGCTTTTTACTTAAACTGAAATAAAAAGTATAACCTCTTTATTATTTTATTTATGGGGAAGTGTTAAACCCACTGGGGTCATACATCACCTGAGGAATGGGAGGTAACCAGATTTAATCCAAGGAAGTGGGGAGGAGGAGGTTAGTTTAAATTCCCATGATCAAGAGCCCTTCACTGGCATCAAGGCACCTTCCCTGACTTAAACCTTGTAATACCACCAGTATAGTATACTACTATGCTTTACTACAAGACAATAAATTTTTAATATCAATCCTACCTTGAAACACTTTCTTGATGGTTGCAACAGAACTCATAGGCATAGTACTAGACACAAAAATCTCAGTGGCATTGGAGATGCCGTGTCTGAGGGCAATGTGTGGCATGAACATAATGCAGAGAATTCAAAGTCTAGAAATTAGGAGGGGGTGCAGGATTACCAAAACTATTATCCAGAGAGCTGAGGAGGGGTTGTTGAGGTGGTTTGGACATGTAGAGACGAAGGAACAAAATAGAATGACTTCGAGAGAGTATAAATCTGTAGTGGATTATTTATTATTATTATTATAATCAAGGGGGAAGCGCTAAACCCGGAGGATTATACAGCAATCTGTAGTGGAGGGAAGGCGGGGTAGAGGTCAGCCTGGGAAAGGTTAGAGGGAGGGGGGTAAAGGAGGTTTCTGTGCAACTGTAGTGTAAATGCAGTGATGGAGTGAATGATGGTAAAAGTTTTTCTTTTTCAGGCCACCCTACCTTGGTGGGAAATGGCCAATGTGTTAATAAAAAATAAAATAAGGTTGAAATAATTGTAATAGATGTCAATTATTGCATAAAAAGATTGAGTGGCTGAGCCCTCCTGTATTTTAAAAACTATGTAATATTATTCTCATATACAGTAGGGCCCCACTTATACTGCAGGTTAGGTTCCAGGCTACTGCCATAAAGCAGAAATTGCTGTAAAGTGGAACACCCTTTTTTTTCTACTTATAAATGCATATAAATACTAGAAACAAATTTACACTAACATATATTGAGTTAGCAACAGAGATAGGCTCTAAAAAAAAATAAAAAAGTAAAACACACATATAGTACACTCATTACTTACCGTAAAATATTTGTAGCCTTAATCTAGGGTGAGATGAGTAGTATTTATTGTAAAAAATCAAGTGTGGTATGTATGGTAGCCAGCCAGGCTACCATACCAGACCATCCCACTCAAACATAATATTCTACGACATTTAACCCTTAAACTGCCCAAATGTAGATTACGTTCGCTCGCGTAGCACTCCAAACGTAGATCTGCATTTTTTTACATTCTTATAGAGAAAATCAAGGTCGGAGCGCTATGCGTGCAAACGCAGATCTATGTTTGGACAGTTTAAGGGTTAAGCGTCCTAGAGTGATAAATGCACATACAGTTCACTCATTACTTACCTTAAAATATTTGTAGTCTTGATGTAGGGTCAGAGGCGAGTAAATGAGATAAAACGGATAAATGGGAGAGAGGGAATGAGGACAGGTGTGGAGTTATGTAAACAAACCAGGCATACGCGAGTTTTGTAAACAAACCAGGTGAACACGTCTGGTTTGTGTACAAGTTACATTGTGTACAAGTTATCTCTACATTGATAAAGTAAAATAAATAAAGAGGAACACTCCCATTCTCATGTACATGTACTTGTAATCATAATTTAGTTTTAGGGTCACCCAAAATGCTTTGCATAATAAGGGGGCTTTCTATACATACGTCAGTCACCTTAATTGTATAATATACTGTATTCCACTTCATAGAAATAAAGTTGATATAACAGACTAGTAGGTGATTGTCCAAGTGTCAGTTAAATCAACGTTAAAAAAGTGCAAGACATATAGTGTTTTGCTCCCTATCTAATATAGTACTGTACACTTTTTTTTTTTTTAACATAGTGGCTGTCTCCCACTTAGCTAAGGCAGGGTGACCCAAAAAAAGAAACACACTCACCATCATTCACTCCATCAATGTCTTGCCAGAGGTGCAGACACCTCCAGGATTCAAGTCCAGCTAACCAGTTTTCCTAAATCTCTTCACAAAACTGTTAACTTGCTCACACTCCAACAGCTTGTCAAGTCCTAAAACCCATTTAGCCAGAGGATTTTGCCCATAATTTTAAGTATTATATCAAGGGTTTATTTGTATTCTTAAATTCTGAGGTATGAAATGTTTTGAAGCCTCTCATTTTAATCGGAGGGAATAATTATTAAACTAGTAGGGGTCACAGTGCCTGAGAGACAATCATTCTAGGTTCTATCTGCTGCTGCTGCTGTGCAGGTTGAAGGTACAAGCCTTCAGCATTTTACAGTAGACCACTACCTTTTACACAGGTGGTTTCATTCCTGACATCTCACAAAAAAAAAAAAAAAAGCCAAACAGGTATTTTGTAAATTCTTAATTTGGCTGAAATAAAATAATTTGTATGATCAGTATATTACATTCAAGTTATTAACCTACAATAACCCAGTGAAGTCGATAGTTGTTGACGCATGATGAATTTGACATCAGTGAAAAAGGTTGCTATGGCCCTACCAGGCCAAAGTGAATGGCAGTGGTTCTTGGGATAAGGTGGATGGCTGGGGTCAATACAGAGTTATTCCTGGAGCCCTCAGGTATTGTCATGAGTCTCGGCTGTGTTTTATCTTGCAGTATTTTATACAGCTGACATTAATGCATAATCAGTTGCTCCAGACTCACTGCACAGCAATGCTTTTAGAAGCATCAGGGGTTCAGTGAAGCAGTCTGCCAGCTGACCAGGGGTATTCAACACCTCACATATGTCTTGGAGTATCAACTGCTTAAGTTTTGGTTCATCTTTCACAACTCTTCTGTTATCTGTCTCCCTACTATTTGGGAAGTGAGTGCATCCATTTCTTATGGAGTTTTATCTTGTCATTTAAGAGTTCGAGCATGTTTTCTGGCTGTACATTTTCAAGCCCCTTCACCTAGCACTCTCCTTGTCAGATTAACAAATTCCTCAACCTAACTCTGAGAGAAAGTCTCTGAAATTATTCATCACAGTAGGCAAGACTGCATTTACTGTTGAATGGGGCACCTCATTCCATGCAGCTTTGATGTGGGGTATTCAATCAGCAATACTGAATTGACACCAGAACTGTGGCACTTCAATGTCTGGGTCTGCATCTATTGCTGCGAGGAGTTTCTGCACCACCTTTCGTGTATAGATGCGCTTAAATGCCTGACTAACTCCTTGATCTAGTCATTGTATCAGTGATGTCACAAGAGCCAAGGATGACTAAAGAAAATGCCAAGAATAAGGAAAATCTTGAATACAAAGTTCCTTCTCTGCAGATACCTGACTTGGGGAATAAAATGGTGCTTGAGCCACTTGGTAAACAAGGCCTCACTCATCCATACTTTTGGGTTAGACTGCCAAATGACAGGAAGTGCTTTTGTGTTTGCTTCAAAGTATCGGGATTCTTGGAACAATAAACAAACATGGGCCTGCACTGAAATTCAGCTGATGCATTAGTGCATAGAAGCAAGCGGAAATGATCCCTCACTGCCTTAAATCTAAATGCATTTCTCTTACTGATATAATTTCTAAAAGTTATCATACAATATAATCCTGTCTTGTCAGCATTAAACACTTGCTCAGTCTTGTAGTAACACTCAAAAATAATTTACTACAACTCAGTACAAAAATTCTCTAAAGCCACGTGGTCACCTGAGGCACTCTCCCTGCTAAACTTTATATTGTGCAACAGAGTTTGCACTGTTTTGCAGGCCTTCTGTCATGCTGGACTTTCTCTCATGATAAAGAAATAAAATGGAACACTTTGTTCTCTGCTGAATCCACTTGTTAAAAAAAAATTTCAGGCTGATTTAGCTATAATGACTTTTTTTTTTTTATTTTTTCAACAGGTTACAGTTAGAGTTACTCATTACAAAAGCTTTTTTTTTCCCTCATTGTCTCAAATTGTTAATTCTCTTACACCAAGCACATATTAAGTAATGGTTATAACTATGACCATAATTTTTAAAATTGTGGACCAGTAAGCCAGCGGAAGGCCTCAGTCAGATGACCAAAAGCTCCAATGGTGGGTCATCATCTGACTAAAACCCGCGTCAGGAGACACTTGTCCTGTTTCCTGACAAACCTTAGCTAACCTACCCTAACCAAGCACATGCACTGTCTCCATACATGCAACACCTCTGAACATCTTAATCACATGAAATTTCTTCAATAGAGGCATAGATTCACACAAACTGTTTCTTGGCACCTTCACCAACACTAAGACTTTTTTTTTTGATGCCATGATTAATATCCAGAAATGAAACAGGGTGATGAAAAGATCAGAAATTGAATGATAAATGTGAATTGCAGTGTGTTGGAAATGCAGTACAGTGGACCCTCGACCAACGATATTAATCCGTTCCTTAGAACTCACCGTTAATCAAAATTATCGTTAGTCGAGTTAATTTTCCCCATAAGAAATAATGAAAATCAAATTAATCCGTGCAAGACACCCAAAAGTATTGAAAAAAAAAAAAATTACCACATGAAATATTAATTTTAATACACACACACTGAAGAAGACATGTACAATTACATGACACTTACCTTTATTGAAGATCTGGTGATGATTGATGGGATGGGAGGAGGGGAGTGTGTGGATGGTGTTAGTGTTTAGAAGGGGAATCCCCTTCCATTAGGACTTGAGGTGTCAAGTCCTTTTCCGGGATTACTTCCCTTCTTCTTTTAATGCCACTAGGACCAGATTGAGAGTCACTAGACCTCTGTCGCACAACATATCTGTCCATAGAGGCCTGTACCTCCTGTTCCTTTATGATATTCCTAAAATGTTTCACAACATTGTCAGTGTCACAATTAAACACTTGTTCAGTTTTCAATTCTTCACTGTCTATGTACTCCTTGAATTCCTGCACATATTTTTCAGCTGCTTTTTGGTCTGAACTGGCAGCCTCCCATGCCTTATCACACTATATATGCCACTATGATTCTTAAATCTCTCAAACCAACCTTT